GCCTGCAATACAATCTGTCTACCTGAAAACGCATATCCAGGAAATTCCGTCGAGAGGTATTCAAAACCAATGTACGTGTTAAATACGATACAGGGGGGAAAGAAAACCTGCCTCGTATATTTGCGCTTCAAAGGGGGTAAAATTAATGTAATAATTGACCATCGAATAAATTCAGAGATGAAGGTTGTTAGTCCAGGAACGAAACTGAAAACTATATCTTAAATATAGTGCTCACTCAAACAAACGAAAATCGACATGTTCTGTTTTCTCAGTACCTCCAATCGCATTTTGCGATTTATGTGTACGTACAAAACATGTCTATGTTCGCATTTTCGAGGACATTTCAATGACTAAGAGACCCAACGCCTCTAAATGGTGCAGTAGCTCAGCATTTAATCGATACCAGATATATCATCGACATTTCGTAATCCTTCAAAATTATTGACAGACAAGAGCCTGATGCTCCTTAGCTTTCCCTAAGCAGTAGAAAAAAACTCGAACTTAATTTATGTGTTCAGAAAGAGACAGTAATAAGCTTATTACTACCTTGGCAAGTTTACAGCTTTGACTAGTTTTATCTGCAATTATTATTATTTTTGTTATTATTATGTTTAGCATTATATTGATATTTATTTTGTTATGTGGTCTTCGCCAAACTAATTCTTATTCTATGTACACTGAGATCATCCTTTCACTCATCAGTTTCTTTTTCATCCACTCAGTTTTCTCAGCTGTTGTAGATTCTTCAAATCTCGTATAGTTATTACAGAACCATTCAGTTTTAGGCAGTCATCACATCAATGGTCCAAATCATTTCTATCTATCTTCGAGTGATTGGAGTCTCAAGTAAACTTCATTTAAACTATGAACCAATGATTGTTTAACCACCAATAAAAACGTGAAAGCAGTGAACGGCCGTTTGATTTTATTAGCAAACTTTTCATCGGTATGTATCCATGGCCGTTCGGTGGTTCCCGGTTTCGAGTGGTGATCTACTGCTGGTCGGTCCATGGATTGAATGAAAATCAGCACGCTCCACAGCCCTACGCAAATTGTGTGTAAACTCTTTACAACTATAATTTATCTCATGATTTGTCTTATATATTCCGAATTTTTTGTAATTACTGCCTCACTCCCTCTTTGTTTTTAAATTTGATTTTCAAATGACTTCACACCTATACTTGCACATATTTACAATTATTATTGATAATCTCTGTTATTGTAATTCTTTTCGTCATCATTACCATCTACGTCACACCATATCATACCTCAATGTTCAGTCAGTTAGTCAGTCAACTAAAACGCAGGATGAGGCACATATATGCATCGGTAAAAGCTGCTATACCTCATTAGCACAACAACATGAACACCAAATTCATAGAATCAGTCACTTCAATGGTAACAATGTATAAAAGAAAGATTGTGTATAAGGATATAATACAGGAAGAAAAAACTAGTTCGTAGAAAAAAAAGTTATAAGGTAATTTTAATCTCATGGTTTAAGGCAAGACAAAGAGTGTACACACAGACGCCATTGTGATTGATTCTTTAATGAATATTTGTTTATAAGCGGCTGATAAAAAACCATGAAATATAATGAATTCATATTATTTTGCTTTATTCTCATATACTGTTTCCTTAGAAAATGCTCTAGGAAATATGGCATAATAAAACATATACGTAAGTGGAATATATGATGTTTTGAATTTCAATGTCGGCTTACTGTTATAACAGGTTTTTTTTAGTATTTTATTAACAAAGCTTTGTGTCATATCCCATAACAAAATGGAATATTTCTGATTATATTATGCATGCGATTAAAGTTAAATCATGATACGATTTTTAATAATTACACTATTAATATTACATCATATGAAATATAATTGTATTATTCCTAAAATTATGTTGGAGAATGTTGGTCAGCGACCTTTCTCTGTTGGAGGGTAACAGGGGTGAATAAGTAAGATCAGCAACTGTATCATATAGAAGAAGACTACATTCATCATAAAATTACCTGCAGACAAATGGCCAGTACTTTAATATTGACATGTTTACTTAAGGTTTTTTCAACTATATTTATAATCTTTGAATATGTTTAGCAAGTTTTACATGATGTCTTAATAAAACTAATGGTAACATTCATACAAAATGATAGATGTATAAAAATATGCAGTTATTATATTGAAATATACAGAAAATTTGGAAAATATCATATTTTAACCTCTCATAAGGAAGCTATTTGCGACTTATGAACCTCGAAGTTAAATAGAACCATAGAGAGCCCCCAAATGCCCTGGTATGGACGAGAGTGGGGTGGGCCCACCCTCCCTCTCAAAATGCTCTCACATGGCCACGCGTATATAGCCTCTGCCAGGGAAGTCCTACTCACTGCCTTCTCGTGGCGGGGGTGTTGTTTACGAAATTCAGAGGATGAAAAGCGAATGTCCGGCGCTTTAACCGGATTCCAAACCAATGGTGCACATGGTGCACATGCGGGAACAAATGGCGTATGAACCAATCATTGGTCACCGGCTACCATGGGACTGCATCTCCTTACGATGCTCCTCTGCCTTGTGGGTTAGACCTTTAGGTCAAAGGCTCGAGGTGTGGCCCCCCTAAGAAAACCACCTGCTTCGGTCTGGGCACCCGGGCAGTATCACAGCCCACACAGACAAATATGGTGTGACGCATATATATTTGGTGCCCTCTTGTACCAATATGTATGTGTTCAAGTAAATAATAATAATAATAAAAGAACCATAGAGAAATTGATATAGTTTAAATAATATATCCAAATAGAATAAAAAGGAAACCTAATTTATCTTTAATGTGTATTTATTTCAACAGTTGAGATCATGAGTTAATTGAAGCTAGACCACCATGGGAAACCTGAAAGCACTGGACGGTCGTTTCGTCCTATTGTGGGACGCCTGAGCAGTGCGCATCCACGGCCCCTCCCGCGGGATTCGAACCTAGGGCCTATCAGTCTCGCTCCAGGCGCTTAACCAACTAGACCACTGAGCCGGCATCCGACGGTGTTAATGTCTAACTTCAACTAATCCACGAAATTGAGCGACACTTTCACTATTGTCATCAGTGAGTTACTACCTCACAACTGACCCGGTTGATTTGCAATCAGTCAATGGAGAGAAAATACTGTTAGATCTACTGTGTTATACGCACAATTTACCATTCAATATTCCTATGATAAAACAAGTGGTATGATAGATGTTTTAATTAAGTTGCACAATTATAGAGTAGGGAACAGTACTTTAAAATTGATTTGTGAACAATAATGTAACTATACAAACAAACAAAGGTAGATTGGAAAAAAAATAAGTGAAATATTTAAAAACTCAAGAAGGAAATATGGATAAATCAAACCACAAATATCTTCTTATATTCTCGATAAACGTATCGCAGTCATAGTAGGTTATTTTGTATTGCAAGTCATTAATTCTTGTTGGAAGATTAATATTTTACAGTGTATACTGCTAGCTGGAAAGAGAATGGTAGACGATTAAGGCAAGATTGTTGTAGAAATGTAACTATAAAAAACTATCATTCTAATCAGAATGGGGGATTGAGTAGATTGTAGTGACTTTTTAGTAGTTGACTTCACTAGTCTACGTAAGCAGACCACCAGAGAAAACCTGAAATCACTGGGCGGCCGTTCTTTCCTAGTGTGGGACTCCTCAACAATGCTTCTTCACGATCTTGCATGCGGAACTCGAACCCAGGGCCTTCGGTCCCGGGTACGAACGCTTAACCTCTAGACCATTGAATCGGCGGACTTCAGTCGATCAATGCATGGCGCACAACCGTTCGTCCATTATGTGAAGTAAACACCGGTATCTATGCGACATTGATTGGACTCCGCTGGTCACAACTTCTCACTGTAACTCCAGAAAATCCATCTTGAAGTCAGTCACCAGTGAACACATGATCAATGTTGTCTTCACTTCTTCCGCAATAAAAGTAATTATATCACTAAATAAATTTGGAAAAACGTCTAATCTTTAGGCTTCTTGTTAATTGTCTTGTACGTTCTTGGGTATATAATTATTTCTTATTCAGTGATTATATTTTAAATGCATTTTTAATCCTAACTCATAAGATAATCAGTTGATGTGGTTTTTATTGTAAAATAAATGATGCTTTTCATTTGAGTGTTGTAATTTAGGTGCTATTAATATAATTCTTATGAAGACCAAATTACTCTGTATGAAATATATTATCATAAAATGATATAATAGGAGAAAATGGATTATATATATATATATATATATATATATATATATATATATATATATATATATATATATATATATATATGGTGTTTACTATTGATGTCGACAGACATTAGTAGTATGGAAAACCAGTTAGAAGTGGAATGCCTGTTCAAGAGGAGATTAAGAAGATTGAACTAAAGAAGTTAGAATCGAAAGAATCATGAATGATGTAAAGGACATTAGATGAAAGATTTGCAAATGTAGTATTTAATCTATGAATTTTACCAAAGTACTCGGTAATTTTGCATTAAACAAGTCTTCGTTCACTACATATATATATACCTGTGGTGCGTGCTAATTATATTAATGTAAGTAGTATATGACGCGCGTCAAGAACGTAATGTCTGGGAGCAGAAGATGCGGGAAGATCAAGTAAGAAAGAGCGAGAACACAATGCAATTTGTAAGGAAACGAATGAGCAATGAAATGTGAGACAACGGATTGACGTTTGCAACAGGAACAGTCCAGGTTGATATGATGGATTGATATTTTGCAAATTAACGATTTGTTTTTGATTTTTTCTATTTTATCGAGTAACTCTGTAATTGTGTGCTAACTACATTCGATTGTCCCCACCGATGTTCTGTTCATTACATGACGAACAGTTTTAAATAGGAACCTCTTTTCAGTTATTTTCTTTCTTCTTCAAAAAGACTTAAATATATTGAAAAGAATATATGAAACAAAGAAACAAAATAAACAAACAATTTGCGTAAATCATAACTCTTTATTTAAAATATTGAATCAATTACATAATAATGTTACAAAAAATCCACCCGTGTTTTTTTTTCAGCAATGACATTAATTGTGACAATATTCTATCTCTAATGTTTTTCTTTTTGTTTTGTTTTTTAAAAAAGTCCAAAAATGATTCATTTTTCAAATTATTCAATGATTACACATGATCTTGTTCAATTGATTATTTTTTATTGATTTAAACAAAAAAATTTAATGAAATTATTCAATAAACTATAATTGTATATTGATTTATACAAATATCATTGAAATGATTAAAATGGATTAAATTTACCAGCTTCAGATAATATAACAATTGAACGAAATACTTGTAATAAAATTAATAAAGTATTTTTACAAGTGAAAAATACATTTGAATAACTTTTTACATTATAATATACTATTAAAGTTATTCTTAATATAAGAAATGGTAAATCTTGTAACATTAATGATATACCAATAGCCCATAATTCAGTTTCACAACATAAACATGGTCGTTCACGACATAATAAAAGACAACCACCAATTAATGGACAATTAACATTGTTAGAATTATCTATAAAATCATTTTGTGATACTGATTTTGGTATACCATCAATTTTTGATGATGATGGTGATGATGATAATGTTAAAGGTGGAACAAGTAATTGAGCTGACTGTTGTTGTTGTTGTCGCTTTACGTCTGATTCGGGGATTTTTAATGTGGAACCACATTCAACATTGGTAATAATGCAATTGTCATGATCTGGATTTTCTGGTTCTCGTTTTTGATTTTTACGAGTTAAATACCATTGTTTCAAATAAGCTAATGTATTCCTTCTTAGAGATTTATTTTTTAAATTTGATGCAACGTTATCACTATCATTACTATTGGTATTATTATTACTATTGTTAGCAGTAAATCGACTTTCACCATCACTTAATGATTTTTCATCCATTGAACTTTGAAATGAAGATAATTCATTTGATTTAGACAATAATAAATTTCTATTATTGTAATTCTTTTGTGTTTTAAGTGCGGTTTTATTGAAACAAAATTGTAATAAACTAGCTTGCCATAATGATAAAATTACAGTGCGTAGAAAATCATTTCTACGAACTTCTTGTTCATTAAATGCTTCAAATAATTCCAATATATCTGCTGCTGTACCAATGTTAATTAATAATAATTGAGATAGTTGATCACGTGTTAATCCTTCTCTAGGCATTAACCAACGTCCAACAATTACAGATAGTAATAATAATTGTTCCAGAATACGTATCCGTTCTTTTAATGAAAAATTATGTAGTTGTAATGACTGTAAACATTTGAGAAAAGTAAATTGAAAAAACAAAACAAAAGGAGACGTGAATAAAGTTGTCAACATTTTACAGGGATATTTGTTTTAATTTATAATAACAAAATAATAGTAATATTCAAGTTAGTATAAAACTTAATATTTGATATTTCACCTCGTTCGCCACTTCAAGAAAAAAAGAGTAATTTTATCCAAATAAACACAACCATATGACATTTGAGCCAAATCGTATTGGTAAGCAGATTTTTGAAACATTAGGAATAACAACATTTGTAGCCATTTCAGGATTACTGTCGATCCCAAGCTCGGATAAAGAAGAATCGGGTATGGAGTCAGAGACTCCATCCGAAAAAAACTTTTTAAAAAAAAGCTAACTATAATAAACAATTTAAACCATTTAGACTCGGCCCCCCGAGTTGAAAGGTCTTCATTCAGAAGAATTATGACACCCCGTGATGAAAGCCGAGAATCTGTAGAAGTCACTCGTTCGATGCCTCTTCTAACAACCAGAGGAACAATTAATATAGGTACATGGAATGTACGGACAATATGAGAGACCGGGAGGATTAATCAAATCGATGTGGAAATGAGGAGATACAAATTGGCTGAACTCGGAGTAAGTAAACTCAGTGAAAACAAACTAGATAGATAAGATGGATGGTGATTAGCGATGAAACCCATGAGGCGCTTGTCGTCTCGTTAGGGACTCGTCAGTTAGATGCACTTGCATTGCAGAGTTGATGAGAAGATACAATCAAACAATAAAAAATGAATTTAAATTTCGCCCTGTTTTACAAGCTAGTGGCTATCAGCACTCGGTAGCTAAGTATATAACCTGATAGCATTTGAAGCAAGTGGCACCTGGTTCGAGTCCCGGAGTGAACACCAACACTGGGATGCAGGTTCATCCAACTGACGGGTCTCAGACAGGACAAAGCGTGCATCCTCGATTCCAGTGCTAGCCACCATCCATCTTTGCTTATAGTGCTTGTAACTTAGGGCACTATCGAGGCAATCAGCACAAGATACACATGTGCCAATAAGAGACTGATCTATTTCAGTCGTCAACACCAGTGGAAACTTTCAAACAAACAATTAAAAGTGAATCCAGACTGAGAAGCTCAGATTCGAGAGAAATGCTATTGCACTCTGATCACGAAGAAGAAAATGCTTCACACATACATGCAATTTCACTGATGCTGTGCAAACTAGCACTAAATGTACTTACAAGATGGGAATCTAGTGGATCCAGAATAGTCAAAGCATCCTTCAAAACAAAGACGGAGAGATTACGACTAATTTTATCCAGTGCTATGCACCAACTAATGATAGAGATGAAGATGATAAAGTTCAACTTCATGAGAGGCTGCAATCGATCTTAGCAAAGTGCTTGGGAAATGACCTGACCATCTTAATGGGAGTCCCGAACGCCAAAGTCGGAATGGACAACACCGAATATGAAGATATCATGGAACGGCATGGACTGTGAGAAAGGAACGAGAATGGCGAGAGATTTGCAGATTTATGCGCGTTCAACAAAATGGTTGTAGGTCCTCCCATTTTCCATCGATAACCTGAGCAGGATTCAAGAAAGGAAGAACGAGAGGACAACAATCAACAACAATCGAACAAGAGCAGAAAAAGCCAAGATATAGAGAGAATAAACAAAAGCAAGCAAGAAAGTAGAGAGGAACATTGGATCTGACAAGCGGAAATACGTCAAAGACCTAGCAGTAACGGCGGAAAACGCTGCAAAAGAGGGAAATATGTGACAGCTATGTGATACAACAACGAAACTAGCAGGGAAATATAGTAAGCTGGAGAGACCGGTCAAGTACAAAGAAGGCAATCTAATCACTGAAACTCAAGAACGTAGGAGAAGATAGGTAGAACATTTTGAGAAACTCTTGAATAGGCCAGCTCTGCTGAATCCACTGGATACCAAATCAGGACCTACAGGCTTTCCTATAGATATCGCTTCACCAACGATAGGAGAAATCAGAATGGTTATCATATAAATCAAGAGTGGAGAAGCAGTAGAACTTGACAATGTACCAGCTGGAAAGAATCTAACTGTGAGGATGAGCCACGTCCTATTCTGGAAAGTTTGGGGGGAAGAACAAGTCTCGACGGACTGGAAAGAAGGACACCTCATCAAGATACGAAAGAAAGGAGATCTGAACAAATGTGAGAACTACAGATGAATTAAATTACTGTCAGTACAAGGAGAGGTTTTTAACAGAGTGTTGCTGAACTGGATGGAAGACTCAGTAGACGTCTTACTTCGAGACCAACAGTTTGGATTCCGTAAGGATCGGTCATGAACAGATCAAATTGCGACGCTCTGTAATGAAATTCATTTTTAAACATCAAATCCATTGACTATGAGAAAGCATTCGATAGTGTGGATAGGAGAATTTTATAGAAACTTCTTCGACACCATGGTTTGCCCGAGAAGATCGTCAATATCATACGGAATTCATACGACGAACTATACTACAAATGTGTGCATGGAGGACACCTGCCAGATGCATTCTAACTGAGGACCTGAGATAGTGAAGGCTGCCTGCTCTTCGTCCTCGTTCTTCTTGTGGTTTATGAAGACCCTGACATCTGAGGGTAAACACGGGATACAATCAACAGCTTGGAATCAATAATAAGATTTGAACTTCGTAGATGACCTGACTCTTCCATCTTATACACACGAAAAAACGCAGATGAAGAAAACTAGTGTAGCAGCAGCCTATGCGTCATTAGGCTTCGACATACATATGGGAAAAAGCAAGATCCCCAAATGCTACACATAGAACATCTGCACAACCACATTTGATGGAAAAACTCTGGAAGAGGTGGAAACTTTCACGTATCAAAACAGCATCGTTAATGAACAAAGAGGATCAGATGCAGACGTAAATAAAATGACTGGAAAAGCAAGGACTGCATTCCTACAATTGTAGAACATATTGAACTCAAAACAACTGTCAACCAACACCAAAGTCAGAATCTTTAATACGAACATCAAGACAGTCCTACTGTACAGAGACGGAACTTAGAGAACTACCACAACCGTGATTGAAAAGTTACAAGCATTTATAAACAATTGTCTACACAAGATACTGAATATCCTTTGACCGGATACCATCGAAAATAGCCTACTGTAGGAGAGGATAAACCAGTTTCCATCTGAAGAGAAAATTAGTAAAAGACGTTGTAAGTGAATAGGACAAACATTGAAGAAATCGTCAAACTACATCACGAGGCAAGCGGTAATTTAGAATCCTAAGAGGAAAAGAAAAGCGCAAGACTAGGGAACAAATTGCTTTGAGAATTGGAAGCAGACATGAAAAGGATGATTAGCAACTAGAAAGAAGTGGTAGGGATTGCCTAGGACGGAGTTCAGTTGCGAATGCTTTAATCTGTCACCACTTTTAAAGTAATCTGTATGTTAAATTATACAATTATATATAGTCTACTGAATCTGCTACCTCAGTATTTATTTCAGTTCAACAGGATTTAACTTTAGCTTTTTTCAAATGAATATCGTTAAGAAATATACCCTGAGTTTGTACTACCATTTAAATGGTGAAATTTTTAAAATTCCTACTTAAGTTGGATGATGTTGCTGATGTCGGCTTTAAACAAAATAATTATATTATTGTCTTATGAATACAGAGCATATCTTTCCAAATGATTTATAAATAATTTCTGAACTAATAATTATTTTCTGAATGGGTTTTGTGGAGATTGTAGTAATTTCAATAGTTGAGATCATGAGTCCATTGAAGCTAGATCCCCATAGAAAACCTGGAAGCATTGGACGGCTGTTTTTATTATTTTATTATTATTATTTTAATTATTTTTCAAAATAAACATCATACTGACTGAGAAGAGTACGACATCAAACAATCAAAAAGTGCATCTCACCTATCTATACATGAATATAAATGTGTAGTTAGAAGATATACAGTGTTATCACTTATTCCATTTCATGCAGAAAATCGTCAATATTGACGTTGATTAGTGAAAATAAAGCCTAAATGAGGAAGGCTTAAAGAGTATTAATCCACAACACAGTATGATTACAACTACCTACTCTTAATAGTTAGACAATTTTGAAAATATTTTGTCCGATTGTAAAATAAATTTAACCATTAGATATAACCATAATATCTTAATAACATATTATTCTTCAAAATTTACTTCTTCTTTTTGTAGACTGATATTTGTAAACGTCTTGGATGTCTCGTATTAAATCAAAAATAGCTGATGTCAGTTCATCATGAAAGTCAACTTTGAAATATACACATTTACCAATAGATGGTGAGAGATTATTTTGTTTTAATGGTGATTTAAAAATGATTTCAAACTAAGAAGGAATAAATCGTAGTCATTAATGTTAATACAAAAATATAAACCTTTTTTTTCATTTTTACTTACTTGTAATACATCCATTGAAACTTGTAAACCAATAGTTTCATTTGATAGGACCTATGAAAAAGAAATCCAAAAAATGCAAGTAGTACAAATTCAAAATTAATTTAGTTGTATATTTAATTTGAATAGCCAGCCTGTGGGAGAGAACGAACCAGTTTCCAGCTGACGAAGAAATTAGGAAAAGACGATGGAAATGGATAGGACATACATTATGCAAATCATCAAACTGCATCACAAGACAAGACCTAACTTGTTATCCTGAAGGGAAGCAGAAAAGAGGAAGGCCAAAGAACACATTATGTCGGGAAATAGAAACAGGTATGAAAAGGGTGAATAACAACTGGAAGGAGCTGGAAAGTATTGCCCAGGACGGGGTTGGATGGAGAGTATTGGTGAGCAGCCTGTGCTCCTCGAAGAGGATCAACTGGCGTAAGTAGGTTAATTAAATTAGTAGAATTAGTGACATGTCACCACAACGATGGTAATGTATTGGTATTGTATTTTTCCCAATATTTTTTAGTAGTTTACATCTCGTTCTTCTTTACGTTTTACGATATTTACTGTGACTTTTGTTTTTAAATGTATCTTTCATCCATAGTTTGATTCTAAGACAATATTAGTGTTGCAAAGATTATTAAAAATTGAGTAAAAACGTTTGAATAATAAATACTAAAGAAATTGGGAAGTAACAACAGACATGTGAAACCACAAGTTTCTCAGCTAAAAACAATGCACTGATCCTTACTGCTATAGAGGATTTGTGGAGATGGTTGAATTTCATTGTTTTCACCGCGGATTGATCCTGGTTAGAACACATTAGTGATTAACCTAGATAGGTAGTGCTCAGAGTTCTAGTCAGAAGCTATTACTGGTTGAAGTCAACCATTTTGAGTATGAGTAGGGTTAAAGATTAAATGTCGAGTGGAGTCATGAACGCATACTGCTGTGGAACCCTGAAGTAGGATGAACCAGCTATCTAGTTCTTCCTGATTTCCAATGATTGTCTAGATTAAGCCAAGTCATAAGTTAAGCTATGACATTTACATACTTTTCACAATAATAATTTTAGAAATAAAGAAGAAATTTGGGGTTTCTGAAAACTAGAAGCAACTCACTATTCCGTTAAGGACCGAAACCAAGACCTTAATGTTTCACAGTAACAATCTAACCACTGAACAACTATGTGGAATTTACTGACTCCTATTTTCAACTTCAGTTAATTTGTAACAATAACTAAATCAAAGTCTTTCAACATTTATTGTTTGAAAGAATATTTTATTGTTGAGTTATACAAAATGGTGTTTTGAAACTTGTTAAATATCGGCAGGTAGAATAAACGAATTCAGAATGTTACTTTATATCCAGTTACAGTGACGATTAATAAAATTTATATAATTTGAGAAATTGATGTTATGAAAAAGAAGAAGCTGATACTAGAAATTGATTTAATTTCTTGTTTCTTTCTTGTCTGGTTTTGGTTATCAAGACCTTCGTCTTTATAAAATATATTGATCATAATAATAGTTTTTCATGGTATTTAAGGATTATTAAAATGTCTTTTTTTCTGTACAAAAATGTTAAGGATCATGTTAGTGATAATATTATGTAAATATACATACGTACAGACCATATGGTTTACTCTGACTGTTTTACCGGATAAACTTTAGTCGGATAAAGCAGACAGAAATAACACAACTCAGTTGATTAGATAACATAAAGCTATACATTGTAAATAAATATCTTTGAAAGGGGTTTCTATCTAAATAAATACAAATTAAGATAAGTTAGTCTAACTTATTTTTTACACTGAACTTAGTAGGCTTTATTTTATCTGTTTGCAGGATGGTGGCATGTAATTCTGATTTAGATGTTTTACTTGGTGTGATCAAGATATTAATAAGATGTTGGTTTAGATTAAATACATTTATGGGAAATATCAAGGATCGATCATCAATAAATAAATTGGGATGATAATCTGTAGAGGTCTAGTGAGTAGCTATTACCATTTGAGTCTAACCAAGTTAGGTGTAATTCAGTTACACACAGGAGAGATTGGAAGATGGTCAAATAATATCACGAATTAATTAAACCTTCGTTCTTAAACCACAGGATGCTGGGACTGTGATATGAAAATTAGGCACTCGCTGTTAGATGTGAAAGTCCAGTATTCGATCTCAGGTGGCCTTGCGGACGAGCACTGTTGAGAAGTCCAATAATGAAACAAGCTGGCCGTCCCGTTTCCTTAATTTTCAGTAGTTTTTCAACGAAGATTAGTTTGTGAATTAAACCATGAAAGTCTAGCAATCTCCACAAACATTTTGAACAACAGATATATTTAATCATTTAAATCATATTCTGGCAAAAATCAAGTATATAATAATATCATAAAAGGTATAGGATACAGTAAAGGATGGTGAATGTTACCCATTTTTCTGTAGAAATCAAATGCTTTAAACCACTTCTGCAACAACTAACTAAAGTCGTACGAGGATACTGACAGCTGTTTGACAGCTGATTACTTAGTGAACAAGCTTTTTATAACATTTGGAAGTTATACTTAACCCTTCAGCACAATATAATAAAACGAACGATTTTTTATAAATATAAGAGATAACCAGAGGCTTATAATTACTCGACCAAATTCAATATCTAAATGTATTTTCAAAGTTCAGGATTTTGCATGTATTCTAACATGCAAAATTAAACTACCAATCTATATTAAGACTGCTGAGCAAATAAATTCTAGTTAATGTATAATCGTCAGTTCAGTTGTAAATATGTACTAATAAGTCACAATACAGAGTTAGAAAAAATAGAGCAACTAAGATAATTTAGTTAAATGTAGTATGTTATTACTTGTACAACACTATCATAAGGGAATTGACCAAAATCACTTCTGTTTGTCATTCAGAACGAAAATATCTCCATATATTAATAAAAAATAAGGACAATAAGTTAAAAAAAATTGATTTATCACTGAGTAGCAACCAATATCGCTATTGATCAGGTTACAATTTGGTCAATATTGTAAGTGATTCAACTATTATATGCACCATGTTAAAGTGTGAGATAGAACTAACCTTCTCCGAGTAAGAATTTGCTTAATGTTAGTTTAAATTCACTGTGGAGCATCAACTCCATCAAGATTACAGGTATGCTTTGTGGATCAATTTCAAAATGATGAAACTTAGGTCTAGAGTTTTCTGTGGACTAACTTTAATTACCCAACATTTATAGAAGGGATGTTTACTTTTGTTATAAAAGACATCTGATAAAAGTAACTCATACTATTAAAGAAGTAATTAATATAAAACCTACAGTTAGTAACAATAAATTTTAACTATAAATTTCATGAATTCAGTCACATCAACTAATTAATCAACTAAAGAATTAACAAAAAATAAATGAATTCATTATATCTAATGGGTTCACAATAGAAATTAGATAAACACTTACTATTTATTAACATTTTAATGATTGTATTTTGACTAAATTTCAATTCCCATTATATTAAAACACAATTGTATGAACGAAGAATATTCTTTTCAATAATTTCCCATCAGGTTCTACAATTATCTCATATTCAAATTAATAATCCATAAAATTGGCCAAATTTAAGGCAGAGTACATCATTTGGAAATTGTAATATGTGAATTAAGAATTGTTGCTTGTCATATAATCGAATCGTTAATGTTGGAGCTGACTAACATCAAGTGTTAACTTGAATCAGTTTATAAGTGAAACGAAATTTATTCAGTGCCCACCCCTATCTACTATATCTGATCTAATTCATATTATTCTACATACTACCTATTTTCTGATTTGTAATCACAATATTCTCTCTCTCTCTCTCTTACCCCATGTTGATCATATTTATTCTGATCATTTATCTCACTTATAAATTGATTCAAGTTAACACTTGATGTTAGTCAGCTCCAACATTAACGATTCGATTATATGACAAGCAACAATTCTTAATTCACATATTACAATTTCCAAATGATGTACACTGCCTTAAATTTGGCCAATTTTTTATGGATTATTAATTTGGATATGAGATAATTGTAGAACCTAATGAGAAATTATTGAAAAGAATATTCTACGTTCATATAGCTGTTTTAAATTTCAATTTAATTTACATTGTGAATAACCAATATTACTAGATTAGAATATGCAATGTAATGACCTCTTAACTAACATCAGTCAATTACATTCGAAATATAACTTGAAATTTAAAAACTCATGGAGTTTTAATTATTCACATATGTTTTAGCTCATTCTATCAGTAACGGGCAGTGAGGTAAGGATAAGAAGAAATAAAATAGTTTCATTTATTTTATCTTTGGCGTTTCTTTTCTGTAATCATAATGATGTTTAAAACCATTTGTTTAGATGTATTTATTCTTTTTAATAATTAAATGATATATTGGTTTTGATGGAGTTTTGTTCTCTGAGCTCAGAGAACAAAACTCTATCAAAACCATCCACCTGAGCTACAAATCTCCACCATCTCGATATGTTGGTTTAAATATGTTAGTATCATTAGTATTTTGTGTACTAAATAATCGGATCACATTGGTAAGGAGAAATAATTTGTCATGAGAGACAAAATTCATCAATATGATGATTTTAAACTTTGGATATAAACGAACTCATATTTTAAAAAAAGATTCACAATAATTTATAAAATGTTGTTCGAGTAGCAATTGAGAGTAGAACAACTGTGTGTGCTACGGATGTCTATTGATATAAGTAGTATATATCGCCAGTCGAAAGTGTTAAGAATGAGAACAGTGAATGATTGGTGTGAAAACGAAAGAACATTCAAGTTTGAGACGATTGACTGACATTTTACAACTGAAGTATTTACTGTATGATTCTTGGATTTTACAAAGATATTCTGTAATTTTTCGCTTAAATACATTCAATTGTTCTCGTTCACTGAACAACTAGTAAATAGTATTCTTATATTATTTAAAATAGCCTTACTTACTTACTTACGCCTGTTACTCCCAATGGAGAATAGGCCGCTGACCAGCATTCTCCAACCCACT